CCCCAAAACCCCAAAACCCCAAAACCCCAAATAGGCATAAAAATATTGGGGTATCAATAATATTAATCATGGATATCCACTCGCTCATCAAATCGCCTTGTGAACCCAAAGATATCTGGGCTACTAAGCTTTATGACCTTGGGGAAGATGCTAAAGAATCAGTTCCTCAGATTCCGAAGACAACTAAACAGTTTGTGAACACTCTTAGGACTAACAAGGGCAAACCTATTGTAGGAGACTTTAAAAGTAGTTCTAAACAAAGGGTTTGTACTGAGCCGATCTGTATTCCTCCTAGATTTAGAGAGACTTGTCAAGATTGTTCAGAGCAGCTGATAGAACTGAAATCAAGGGATATAACTACGCTTAAGGATTATAAGCCTAAGACTTACAACAAGAAGGCAATTGGGAAATTGACTAAGCTGAGACTTAAAGCCCAGAAATCAGAGTTTCTAAGAAAGTTGCCATCTGATGAGATCTTAAAGTCTATGATAGATTAAAGACTCGTGGAAATGAGTCAAAGCTCAAATAACTACTAATTCCTAAACTCTTGCCTTCATCTTAAATCGGTTGGGTTATGTGCTACTTGGCATATAAGTGAGAACATTAAGACATTAGGAAAGTGATTGGAGTGTACCATAATGAAATGATATGTGAGCACATCTTCTAACTCTCTCAATTTCTTAGTTAAGGCTCCATTATTTATTCAGAATAATTTATCAAAATCCTGATCCCTGAGTCTTAGTTTTATAGATTTAAGCAATGAGCCTCAGCATGTCTTATGACAACTCCCTCTGTTTATTATTATTTCTGACATAAAGACAGTAGACATAGCAAGGACTCTTACTGTACAGTATAATGCTTCTGGGTGTTATTGTTCTAAAATTATATCTAAGCTTAAGACCGCAATTTCTTCTAAAATTTTGACTCCTCAAAATATAAAAATTGAACTTGGTATTCCAAAACCTAGCTAATTAGTTTTATCTTTCAGTATTTCTGAAAACTATGAAAGTATTCTTACTTTTCTCTATGTTATGTTTCCCAGATGGAGATCATAACAGAGATGTTTTAAGGAGGGGAAATCTAAAGCAAAATTAGGCTTTTAGTAAAGATGCCCCTGAGTTTATGCTGAATATTCTCGGTTTACCAAAACACATAGAGATCTTGCTACAGATGAGCCATAATATCTAAAAATTCAGCTCCCTGGTTGATGCCCATTCTTATCGTTTGAAATAGTAAGCCAGCAATTAAAATGTAAAGCCTATGGCTACTGGGAAGGTGCCTTACCCAATTCTTTAAGCAATAGAAATATCCCTTATAGGAAATGGGCTGCTTTTTAATAAACTAATGATTAAAGCGAAGATTTACTGTTATTGCTAATTTAGATATTCCCATTAGCTTTGATAAGTATCAAGACTAACAGCTCGATGAGACCACATCCTGAGGTTCAAACTTAATTAAGAACTCATGAGAGGAGGGTCATACTTCCCTAGTAGGATATCTACAGGTTTTCTCTACCAGTTTCAATTCAGTCAACAAGTTATTGACATAAATGTGTGCAAATTTTAATTTCTAGCACTCCTCATCTATTTTGGCATACTGTTTTGTCGTGAAGAAAGGGAAACTCTACAGTCGTCTTCTTAGAGACCATAATGATGGGGACTAATATTTCCCTTTATGAAATACATTGCTAAGATATCAATCCAAAAATTATGATTTGATTACAAAAGTTTTAGTCAACATATTTTCATCAAGGAAAATAGGAAGGGATTCCCCAAAATCTAACATAAGATATATTTTAGTTAAGATGAACCTGGACTCTAGCCTGACTGTCATGCTCTTCAGCAAGATTAGTGTGTGCTCTAGAATCGATTTATAGTCCAGCTGTAGATATAAAGTGACTTTACAATGGTGGTCCATTTCATTCAGCAGGAAAACAAATTAAAGATGGATAAAATGCTGGTTCCTGACAAGTTTGGATTAAGAAAGATCACTGAAGTAGGAGTTAATATCTCTTGTATAAAGTCTACTCTATTTCATTAGCAAAGGTAGGTTAAGAAACAGAGTCAGGTGCTAGAAAGTCACCTTCCTTGTTGGTTAAAGTTACTCAAGTTTTATGGTATTCTACTGAGCGAAAGTATTTAATAGTCATCTTTATTTGTTTTGTTAATACTCAAAGTAATATTGATTAATATTTAACTTCCTTAACATGTTTAACAGAAACCGAGCTACACTTTTAAATTTTTGCTATCAAGTGGATCGGCAAGAAGAGAACTTCTTTAATAATCTGCCTGCACAAAGTTACAGTAGATTGGTTCAACTAAAGACTCCTTTTTCATATTTTATTTCAATCAAAATATTGCCACTTGGGGTTTTGGGGTTTTGGGGTTTTGGGG